AGTTCCAAAATCATTCTCAAAAACCATACTTTGTTTATTTTTGTTATAGCTGTTTTTTAGGTGTGGTTGTATAGAAAACCAACACCCGGATTTCAAACTACCTTCCCCATATGCCGGAAGACACTCAGAAGACAGAGATTCAAAGTTAGAGAATGATCCAATTTTCCTTTGTCTAGTCAAGACTTTTTCTACCCTCCACTTACCAATACTAATAATCAATGCACTTTGAATTTTTCAGATTATTGGATCTGATGACATTTACCCTCGGAGAACCCGGCAAGCTACCGAGAGTATTCGATATGCCAGACACAGTAACAACAAAAGTCTCCAATGGAGACATTACTGGGCCCGCTCGAGCAAATCCATGATCAACGGGAGGGCCTTACCTTACTGCCTTACTGATGACATTTACCAATAGCATCTATTGAGAGTGTCATTGTCTTTGTTTAGTAGTGGCCTGTTCTGTGAGGATCACCTTTGTGAGTCAGAGAGTAAACTCACATCATGTTGTCCTGCCGAGTGACTCTCTAGGCCACTGAATCATTTTCTGGGCCCTAATGCATCTGTTCTTGTTGGCAAATTTAAATACCTTTACCTTGGCAAAAATCTAAGAACAATATGTATAGTCAGGTTATGCAGCTCCTCGACACACCTCAAGGAACTGGGCCAGACTGTCCTGGGCAGATGGTGGTGAGGATGTGATTTGCACAATGAGAGAACTGGGTTCTAACATACTTGAACTCTAGACTCCAGTTGCCTGTAAAATAGGCAGAACGATTGATCTTCCTGGAGACTTGTGACTTCTCACTTGAATTAGAGATCAATTCTATCAGCAAGGTACACATTATACTTTTACTTTATAACAAAAGTTTAGATATTAAAAACACATTATACCAATAGGCATGACAAATTAACTAATATGCCAGTGTGCCAGTGAGTAGTAACTCAGAAAGTCATATTTGTGCTCATTAGTTAATAATCATGTATCATGCTAAGCGAAATGAGTCAGAAAGAGAGGGATAGACATAGAAAGATTGCATTCATCTGGGGGATATAAAGTAACAAAGTATGAGATTAATACCCAAGAATAGCTGAGATCAGCACCAGGAGGATTACTCCATAACTTAGAGGCCAGCCGGGTATCCTAGAGGAAAGGGCAGCTCAGATAGAGAAGGGAGCACCAAATAAAGGATGTTTGGAGGATCCTCCCAGGAGGGGAGATGCATGTCGAAAGTAGACTATGGACTGAACATGTTTGCCACTCAATGCCTCTTTTGCAGACCATAACACCCAAAAGGAGAGAGAGAACACAGGGGATTGCCCTGCCACAGAGACAGGGGGGGATGGGGGGATGGGGGTGGGGGGATATTATCCATGGTGGTGGAAAATGGGCACTGGTGGAGGGATGGGTATCTGATCATTGTATAATCGAAACCCAAGCACAAAAAATTGAAAATCTACAACTGTAAAAAAAATAATAAATAAAGGGAAAAAATAAATTAAAAAAATGTAAAAAAAAAGAAAAAAAATAATCAGTGGCAAGATAATCTGGAGAATAAAGGCAAAGAAAAAGCATCTCCAGGTTGATAGAACCTGATTCTATGTAAAGAGGACAAATGGATGGAAATCTGATTGACAGCCCTTGTGGGCAAGCTCATAGATGTTGGTAATACTACTTGGTAAAAGGAAAGTAGCAAAAAGGAAGGAGAAATGGAAGAGCACAGTATGGTATGCCATGTACAGTATGCTCACTTTCAATGATAAGAATTGTATTTTTCTCTCAAGCTACTGAACTTCACTCTGCCTTTAAAAACAAAAGGAACCCCCTACTTCATTTTAATTTTCCTTTACAACATGTCTGTACTCTAACAGACCTATTTGGAGGTAAATACTGTGAATTCAATGCAAGTAATTAAGATTTTTGATGCCAAGAATCTTCTTCCAATTCTCAGCACCTCCTAGAACCCTGGAAGGATCATCTCTGGCTGGAATATTGGTATCTGGCAATGATTTAGAATTCCTTTGCCTTGACTTATCTCTGGAAGACTCCAAAGATAACAGAAACAAGGCTTGAAGTAACTAATTGCAAAGCTGAGCTTGGTGCTTTCCCTGGCTTTGGTAGCCAACATCACTGGACTCTTGTGTCTTGAGCTTTGAGAGAGAATCTTAGAAAAGGACTACCCTAAGAGAACCACCCTTAGCAGAACCACCTAACGTCTTAGAATGGCATTTCGAAGAAAGCTAAGTAGCTATCTACTCCGTCTGTTCAGATGTCTCCTAAAGATATCACAAAAACGATCATGACCATCCTGTTGTTTGTCAATTGCCTCAAGCAGGCCCCAGTAACATCTCCTTCATCCTAGCCCTGAGATTTTTTTTTTAAGTGCCATATTGAAGGCTCTTTCAGGGTTAGGAGAATGAGACCTATCATTGTTACTGGTATTTGGCATATTGGGTACGCCACAGGGAGTTTGCCAGACTCTGCCGTGTGAGCAGGTTACATTCGGTAGCCTGCCAGTTTGTCCAAAGTAAGAATGAGATAATAAGATATCGTGCAGCCGCAAATGCAGCTGCGTGCTTTCGGGAGCTGGATTTTATAGTCTCTGGGTCTTGGCCATTGATGGGATTACACGGTGCCAGGGGGCCAATTGGTGGGTGTGAACCCTGCCTACTGGAATATGGAGGATCCGGGTGGAGGATGCTCAGCCCCGATCCGAGCAGGCTTGGATCCGAGCAGCCCCAGGACCCGCATGCCTTTGTTCCTCTGCCAGTACCTTCAGGTGTGTGGAGAGTGGTGTCAGCATGGTTGTGGCTGGTTCTGGAGGTCTTCTAAAGATATGTGTTGTGATAGTTCATTTTCCTTAATTTTTTTACTAAATACCTTACCTTTACTAAATACCTGTTTAAATTTTATGGTTTTTTATAAAGTAGTTTACAATATTTGATTACATTTAATATTTAAATGGGGCTGGAGTGATGGCACAGCAGGTAGGGTGTTTGCCTTGCATACGGCCAACCCAGGTTCGATTCCTCCATCCCTCTCAGAGAGCCCAGCAAGCTACCTAGAGTATCCTGCCCGCATGACAGCCTGGCAAGCTCCCCGTGGCATATTCGATATGCGAAAAACAGTAAGTCTCACTTTGTGGTCCTGGAGCGAGCAAACACCATTGGGCTACACTAGCACGCGACAGGGATGAATGGAGACATTACTGGTGCCCGCTCGGGCAAATCGATGAAAAATGGGATGAAATATTAGCTATAGTGCTAATATTTAAACACCAATACCACCACCATATATTTTTTTAAATTTTTATCAGTGAGACACCATGAGGTACAGCTGTAGACTTACAAATTTTTGTGCTTGGGTTTCAATTATACAATGATCAAATACCCATCCCTCCACCAGTGCCCATTTCCTACCACCACGGATCCCAGTATCCCTCCCACCCCTCCATCTCCCCCAACCCACCCTGCCTCTGTGGCAGGGCATTCCCTTTTGTTCTCTCTCTCCTACTAGGTGTTGTGGTTTGCAAAAGAGGCAATGAGTCTACTTTCAGCATGCTTCTCCCATCCTGGGAGGATTCTCCCAATACCCTTTATTTGGTGCTCCCTTCTTTATCTGAGCTGCCTTTTCCCCCTAGCATGTGTGGCTTGCCTCCAACCATGGAGTAAAATTTCTGGTACTAATCTCGGCTATTCTTGGGTGTTAGTCTCCTATTTTGTTACTTTATGTTCCCCAGATGAATGCAATCTTTCTATGTCTATCCCTTTCTTTCTGAGTCATTTCGCTTAACATGATACTTTCCATGTAATAACATTTGTATGTAAATTTCATGACTTCATCTTTTCTAACAGCTACATACTACTCCATTGTGTAAATGTACCAAAGTTTCTTTAACCAGTCATCTGTTCTCGGGTACTCAGGTTTTTTCCAGATTCTGGCTATTGTAAAGAGTGCTGCAATGAACAAACAAGTGCAGATGTCACTTCGACTATACTTTTTTGCCTCTCCGGGATATATTCCCAGAAGACCACCACCATATTTTGGATGTTTCCATCCTGAACCCCAATCCCTGCCCTAAAGCAGAAGTGAAATAATGTTGCTTGTTATGAATAATCCACTAAAAATGATCCAATAAAAGTTTCTTAGAGGAAAGTGTGTGAAGATTGTTGTATTTCACCTGGATCCATTAAGCCCTTCTATAAGAGATTACTAACATGTTAAAGGTTTGGTGTATATATAGAACATATATATATATGTATATATATATATATAATTCCCTCTAAGATTGGTTTCTTTCTACTTTATGCCCCATCAAATGTGATGTGCTACTCTTGGAATATGAGTGGTACAAGGTATGAGATGTCCAGGTATAGATTCGCTCTTGGGTGAATCTTGGTCCAAGCATGTGGAGAGAGACTGGAAGTGTGATGGCGGTTGAATTCCAGAGGTTTTTGGCTGCCAGGGCTGAGTCCTTGGGGTGGGGAGGAGCTTCACCCACTATCCTTCAGAATGCCCTGAATAAAACAGTCTAGCGCGAGGTCCAGCAGCATGGCTATGACCTAAATACACTTTTAAAAAGTTTATAGGGACCTGGGAATATCGAAGTGGCCTAGTACCTTCCTTGCAAGCACAAAGCTCCATACACCAAACACAGTTCCTAAGCTCTGCCATTTAGATTCCTGGGTGCCACAACAAAGATCACTGGAGCACTACTGCCAAGTATGTGTGAGCACTGCAGCTAAACTATGTACAAGCACCACAGCTAAGTGTGTGACCCCAAACACCACAGCCAAGTGTGAACATATAGAAAGTGTGTGAGACACTCTCCTTCCCCCTTCCACACACATACCTCCCGCCATCATAATCTCAGAGACAAAAAAGAAAAGGAAAGAAATAATATGATCAAAAATAGAAGAGAGAAATAGTCTATAGTATTTTAGATCCAAATCATGCTCATCACGCAAGGAAGGTTTTCGTTTCAGTACCATCCTTTGACACTAGATGCACTCCAATTGGAGAAACAACTGTTCCTTTCAATGGCTCTATGATTTAAGGTGACAATTAACTTATCAGTGGGCAAAAGTTTGCTATTTATTTAATCTTGGAAAAACAATGAAATAAAAAAGGCAGGAATCTAGGCAACGTGGAAGAACTAAGAAGTTCTTAATTGGCTGGAAGTTCTTACATGGCTGGCCACATAGGTTTTAACAGCAGCAGGGGCAACGGGCTGGGGCCAAGGTTACATATTTCTGTTCAGTAAGGGTATCCGTGGTGGTAGCTCTCATGATGACGATAGTCATCCTGGTATCCATCCTGGTATCCTTGGTGGTAATTATGGTAACCATATCCTGCATACTCATCTTCCGGGCAGTGCATTCCCAGTGACTGCTGGATGGCCATTTCCTGTCTGCGGAGTTGCATAGAATCAATTAAATCATACACGATCACCATGGACCACATTGGAGAAGGATACCAGGATTTTACATTTCCGTCCTTTCCAACTAGAAGCATGGAGAAGTACTCTGGGCTCACTTGAAAATAGTTACGTAGGTCTTTCACCAAGTGAGCTGGTATGTCTTCTCGCTCAACAACAGAACTCCCTGGAATAGACATGGAAAAGTTGTTAGTGGGTTAAAGTCAGAGCTCAGGCAAACATTAAAGTGAAAAGACCAGCGTGAGAAAGGAGGACCAGGGAACCTCCCCTCTGTTTCAACCTCCAATTAAGCTGGTTTGTGCTTTTTTTCATTCCTACTAGAAATTAAATGTTTCTGATACTCTACAACATTATGTGTGTCAAATGTTGGGGCGTTTGATGGATTCTTGATAAAATATATATTTCTAAGTTTATTTCCAATTGGTTGCTTCCTTGAAATAACTTTTTCCTATTATTCTATCAAAAACTTACTCCATTGTCAGGAATGGAAAATATCAATTAAATAATATCTGAATACATATATTTAAACACTCAAAGTAAGTGGAGAAAAATATAAAGGGTTCTGGCACTTCTGCTCCATCCTACAGATTATTTTTCTGTGGGATGGCAGGGGATGGTGAAGGACTGGGAGCTATTCATCACAGTGTTTGGGGAACAGTGGGGGGGGGGTGGGGGGGGGCTGAAGGTCAAACCATGGTTCATTGCATGTAAGGGAATAGCTTTAGATTCTGTGTTATTTCCCAGGGCTTAGTGTGAGGAATATTATAAAAATTGTTTCATATAAATATAAAAATATTGTCTCAAGCTTGGTCTTGGACTGATTTACTTTCTGAAGCATTCAGCCTCTAGTCACTGTCTTTCAGCTTCGCTGAGCCATTTAGCATATGTTCTCATATGTTAAAAGGGAATTGATAAATGTGTCCTACATACTTCAAAACTATCGTGGGAATTAGAAAAGAAAGAACATAAATGAATATACTTTGCAGATCGTAGAACCCTATTTCTGCAGCTAAAAGCATTATCAGAGTTAAATAAATGTTAATTTTTACCTTTGTGAAAAAGTTAAGTAAGTTAAATTTTACCTTTGTGAAAAAGTGTATATTCAAAACAAACAATATTAGTGCTTGTTTCACTTCCTATGTGAGTTCACACATGTGAATTCATGTGTGCCAAATAGTGAACACACACGTGCGCGCATGCACACACGCGCACGTGCTCACACACACACAAGCCCAAGTGAACGTTACCATTGAAGTATCTAAGTACACCCACTACTTGCATTTAGCCTAATATACTTTAATTGACCGTAGTTCAAACTGCATTTAAAGATAATTATTTTAGGGCTCAGGGAGATAGCTAAAATGGCAAAGCACATGAATAGCATGTTGAAGGCCCTGAGTTTTATCCCAGGAACTGCAGCCCCGCCACCCAACCTCCACTCCCAGTGCTGCCAAGGAGATCCCAGCTGAGCACAACCCGCCCTCCGCCCACCCTAACAGAGCACTGAAGCACTGGCCCAACACTGCCTCTTGGGTCTCTTACACCCAAGCTCACTACTGGGCTGAGCATAGCTGAGAATGCCCCCTCCACCCCTGCAGCACTTCTGGGTGTGGCCCACTAAATTAAGTAACAACTTTACCATTAATCGGGAACAGTTCTAAAACACCTCCAACTTCCTCCCCGACACCTAAAAGCTTCAGAATGGTTATGTGGCGCAGACCTGAATGAAAAAAAGAAATCCTCAGAATTAGCAGGTCATCTTGCAGTCAACGAAGATCACACCGATGGCAATGAAAAATCTCCACGTTTAAAAGAATATAGAAGGCACTAAGGATATGGCTCAGACATAAAGCACCCACCTTACATGTATAAGACTCTGCATTTAGTATCCCTGGAATAAGAAAAAAGTTTAGGAAAAGTCAGGAGTAACCCCTGAGTATTGCCAAGTGTGACCCAAAAGAAAAGAATAAAAATTTTCTTGGGCATAATCAGGTAAAATAATTCATTAATTTTTTTCATTAACATGAAACAGTCCAATTAAAGATAATTGGACTTAAAAATAAGAGTTGAAAAATAGGGTCAGATGTGGTCTCGTTTTGGTTTGTAGATTGAAATTTCTTTCAAAACTGATTCTCTTTGATTGGGACAAAACAAAAAGATGCCATCAGGACATGAAAATACCTGCGACTGTTAAAGCATATTCACATTTTGAAAATGGCAAGTCTGAAGTCATAGAACTTATCTGGATAACAACTTTTTTTTTTTTCAGAGAAGACTCCAAAAGTAATCTGTTGTAACTGTTAATGAAAGGGTCCTGGCTTCCTTGCAATGGAGTTCACTGTGCTGTTTCTTATCACTTATTTAGAGGATTCAAGGGGGTAGTACTTAAGCACAGCTTGCTTCCCACCTCAGCTAAGGATTCATCCAAGGAGAGGTCATGCCTTGTTAGCTTCCTGGAATTCTTTTGAAGATGAAGTGTGCATTAAAGAAATCAGGAGAAAGAACACTGAAGGACCAGGAGGCTGTCAGGTCATCATATCGACATTTCACGGTTTAAGACAAAATGCCAACCTTGTTGGGATAATAGCTTGGAACGAATAATAGGACTCTTGATAGTGTTCATTGTCTGGGAAGAAAACTGAAAGAGTCCTGGGAGGGCATTTAAAGGAGGAGTTAAAATCCAAGCAGGATGCTCTGTTCTTCAATTGGTACCCGCCCGCCCCCACATTATTTTTTGGCTTTTACTCTTCTCCCAGAACACACACAATAAGGCAACTTAGATTCTGTAAGCCAAAAATGAACAGTCCCTAAAAGCTGCTGCAAATATGACCCTAGGAAATTCACAAAGCCTGACTATTTACCCTTATTGTGAAGGATCATTAATTCCCCCAAGAACTCTTAGTACCTTTGATGATTTTTAAATACTTAAGTGTGTGATTTAAAATACTGTCTCAATAAGATTATATCTAATGAGCTGGTGTCTTAGATTACTGACTTTAAACTAATATAAACAGAATTTTACAGAATTTTCTAATTGTTTTTGCATTGAGCAAACTAGGAGCTTTTTCAATGCCTTCTTTTTAGTTATTGTTTCACATCTTAAAACTGAAATGCATTTAAAATTTACAGGTTCTGAGTCAAAACAAAGACCTAGGTTCTCTTAATGCTTTACAAAATTTATACACCATCCTTGCCCCCTTAATAATTCGGTTATGGTTTAATAACTAAAATGGGATTCTAAGTATAAAATAATGCTGATTCATCTATATTCCAATTAAGAATTTTAAGATCAGCTCCTTTAACTCTGCTGAAATTTCTCACAGAATTGTTCTTCTGTAGAGGTGTAACCTTTCCCCCCTTTCTGAGATGCCAGAGATTGTTCCCAGGGCTGTCAGGAATGTGCTGTACACAAACCCAGCCCCCTGAGGTGGATCTTAAATGAGTTTTAGTTGTGTTTTCCACTCATGATATTGCCATTATTTCTTTGGTTCCTCATTGAATTTATCTGTAATTTATATGTAGCGTACTTTTATCTTTTTAGTTTTCAATTTTTGAAATGACACTAGTTCTTTCGATTCCTAACTTAACATTTTGTAAAGAAAATAATATATTAATTTTCAAAATATAGAACAATTCACTACCCCAAAATTTCACTTATGTTTGTTTCTCTTGTTTGGCTTGTATTCAAGAAGATCTTTTTATACAGATCTCCCTGTCTTCTTGGTGCTCAGTAATAGATCAAATATTTTTTAGGGAATGATAACACAGTATAGCTAGCATTCATCAAATAATACATTAATTCACAAAGTTACTCCTGTCTAACTAAAGATATTTAATCTATGGAGAAGTGCCCAATGGCAGTGCCTAAGCATTACATAACTAAAAGATGCTAGCTATGTTTTATGATCTTAGCAAAACAAGATCATCACATGAAAAAAACATCAGGATACAGAGTACTTAAAGTAAAGTAGCAGATATCTTTCAAGCACCTCAATTAAGAACCTTAAGAGAATATTGAGAGAAATACAGACCCCAGTTACCTGAGACCAGGGCTTCTGAAATGTTTTATCCTCTTGGTTGAGAATTTTTTACACAACCCTGGGCATATGGTTTATAAAACAGTCATACAAATGAAACATCTGATAATAAATCATAAAGACATTTATTTTAAAACAAATTTTTAAACAGTATGCGACCCGATCTGGGGTTGCAACCCCCAGTTTAAGAAGCTAGTAGCTAAGACCACAGTCTGAAAGCCACTTTATACTCAATATAGTTGAGTAAGTGTCTGGGAATGTACAGTCTGAATTGGAGGATATTTGGATGATCTAAGCTCTGTGTTTCATTTTTGAATCGACCAGAATGAGAGAGTGGTAGGATACAGCTGCGAGGATTAGGCTTCCCACTCACCAAAATTGCATGCCTGACCACTGAGGGCAGAGAGCTGCTGTGAATAGGCCCAGTCTTCATCATTAGGAGCAGAGATCACCAGCAGCCGCCGCCTCCAACGAAACCTGGAAAAGAAGCAAGTGGCCGCACTGACTGCTTCAAATCAGAGAGTCTCATAAGTGTCTGATAGGAGGCTTTCTGCTGTCTGTTTATCTCTCATGCTTCAAATTAATAAAACACTGGCCCTTCAAAATGCCTCGTGGCTCTCAATGCCAGTAAGTTTCATCATCATCTTGCTTGTCCCTTCTCTGTTTTAACTTCAGTCTCTTTCAGAGGCAGGGTGGACAGTTGGAGAGTTTGGTCACTCTGCCCTGACCTTACTTACAGAGAGGCAAAACTCCCCAGAAGCAATGAAAAGGTAAGGGTTGTTCAGAATTGCATGAAATTATAATGACAGAAATAGGAAGGTGCAACGAACACAAAACATAACAACCAACCCTCAAACCCTAGAATTTGGAGGGGGTAAGAAATGAATATATGGGGACTGGAGTGATAGCACAGCGGGTAGGGCATTTGCCTTGCATGCAGCCGACCTAGGTTCAATTCCCAGCATGCCATATGGTCCCCCAAGCACCACCAGGAGTAATTCCTGAGTGCATGAGTCAGGAGTAAACCCTGTGCATTGCCGGGTGTGACCCAAAAAGCAAAAAAAAAAAAAAAAAAAAAAAGGAATATATGTACAGGAATGGAGGGGAAAAGATCTGAACTTATCTTAGATGACTATGACAAAAGAAAAATGGAATAAAGCTTCCAGGAAGAGGCATCCTAGAGAAATGAAGTCAGGGTTCTTCCAGAGACCAGTGCAGGCTCAAAATGTACCTGACTGAATTTCCCTCCCAAGATGGAGGCAGGGAAGTTGTCTCTACATCAAAGGTTTTATACACGTTCATTTTCTTTTCTAAGAATTCACATAAAGGTAAAGGTAAAGGCCCTCGCGTTGATCGTCGATTTGCTCGAGCGGGCCCAGTAACGTCTCCATTGGAGACTTTGTTGTTACTGTGTCTGGCATATCCAATACTCTCGGTAGCTTGCCGGGCTCTCCGAGAGGGGCGGAGGAATCGAACTCGGGTCGGCCATGTTGGCCATGTTGGCCGCTTGTAAGGCAAACGCCCTACCCACTGTGCTATCGCTCCATGTTTTATAATCTCATTTGTACATGACAGGTGTCACTAAAAAGAGTATGCACTGTGTTCCTGAATAATAATTGATAAATTTAATAACCTATAAAAAATCTATAATAAAAACATTTTATTTCTGATCTGAAATGATATGTCATTGTTACAAATAATTCCAACAACAGTGAAAAAAAATAAATAAGTGAAAACAACACACAGGAATGTGCCTTCATAGAAGACTGCCCCTCCGATGCAGAAAGGGGCTGAACCGTAAATTATTCCTGCTCTTAGGTTCCAGCTAGTAGGGTAGCATCTGTCAAGAAAGGGCATCTGTCAAGAAGCTGAGAAACCTGAGTGCAGATTTTAGCACTGCCACTTTTGGGGTGTCTTCGAGATCTTCTTTAACCCATGTAAATCTCAGTTTTTACTTAACTTGAGAGTTCTAAGACAAAACAGAGCAGCTACTTCTTATTTTTATGGTGCTGGAGATCCACAACAACCAGGGCTTAGAGGCCCCAGGAGCCCCTCCTGTGTGGTAAACCCAGGGTCTTCTGTCCTCTGCCATGTCCACAACTACTTCAATCAGGATGATCTGATGAAGACACACACGCGCGCACACACACACACACACACACACACGATAAACTACAAGTGTTATAACATTTAAACTCCAACTCTCATTGATTTCTGTTATCCATAAAATGGCATGGACATATCTGTATCCTCATGCTTCTCTATAGCAATAATAATAATAATGATCATTCTCTCAGCTTCCGAATTACCAGGTGATGCTCTTCTGGTAATCGTGTTTGTGTGCCATTTTATAGGTCACTTTCAGCGACACAATACGTGTTCCTTTGTAGAACTCCATGAGGATGTGGTTCATTGTCTCCATTTTACACATGGCAGAATGAGACTTACAGAAATAAAGTGGCTTGCTGAACTAATACATGGGAGAGGTGGTACCCAGATACAGATTCCTCTGGTTGCTGAACAAGAGATTTCTCTGGTTCCCACTCTCAGCGGCTGCTACAGGGATACATCCAAAACTTTTCCCTCTCAGAATCTGAGAGAAAGGGGGGTTGCATCCTAAGGACTGCTAAATGCAGTTGTCTCGAATTCCACCTTTAGGGAAGAAAGTATTTTGTTTCTGCTTTCAGGGCTGGCAGTTGGTGGGGTGTTCGTGCACACACTGAGCTGGAAGTTAGTTGATTTTATTCATGGCTTCCCTGTCTGTGCTCCACCTAGCCTCAGAGTGAACATGAGAGTTTTCAACTCTGAAAAAATAGCCTCCTGGGACATAGCGGTTTGAGTGAATGAGAGAAAAGTGATAGTCTGATGAAATCCAACCTCTGAATGGACGCCTATAGCAAGGTTTGCCAAGAATTGCTTGCTGTGACATCACATTTGCTTCCTTTGCTTGTTTTTCTTCAAAGGGAAAGAAAAACTAAAAATTTCCACAGTGGATAGGGAGATGAATGTGTTTGGCACTGAGCTGGGGAGAGGAACTTCTGAGACTACCCGAGGCTTTCTGAGAAAGGGAACCATGTCCACTGTCAAATCACAAACACCATGTCCTGGACTGGCCTGCTTCCCTAGGAGGCATTCCAGACCAGCCCTGGCCTCTCAGCCTGTCTCTAAGCCAGGAAGCCTTCCTGGCCTCATGCGGAGTGGCAGGGGTCAAGGCACGCACTATTTTGAGAGAGGTGGATTTGACTGCTTTACCTGTGTGCGACCACAGAGTGTTGTCTCGGTGGGATAGAGGTGGGATCGGAGGCTCCCTGTCACAGACACTACCAAGAGAAGGCCTCTTCTTCCCCAGGAATGATTCTCTCTCCCTCAGACCTCGACATTACGAGACAAGGCCCCTGCTCAGAGAGAGAAATACCTTCCAGAGGACGGAACAAGAGCTGTGGCTGTGGCCAAGGTCTTATTTTGTATAGACCTTTGCTGTCACTTTAGTTTGTCAGTAAATAAAAAATTCCACAAGCTCTTCATGGGTCTGCTTCTTTTTAGCTGGCATTCCCAAATTAGTGCTCATTTGCCCACCCTCTGGGACCTCAGCCTCTGAGAGGTAATTATAGCCCAAACCAGATTAATGTCACTAAGGACTAGACAGGCTTAAACTGTCTGGTCAGCTGAAACCAGGCTTTTCACATCCACCAATAACTCAGGGAATTTAGAGGAAAATTCCCATTCTATTATAGAGCTGTTTGTTCGTTTAGTTTCCTTTGCCTGGGTTTCAATTCTGAGGTATTTACTAAATGTTCTCTTATCTCTCTCTAGATGGAAAACATTACTAATTAGTTGCTAAACAACTACTAAAAGCTGGCAATTTTATTGGTTACTTACTTACGCTCAATTCTGAGTCATTACCACCTTTATAATTCAATTTCTCTTTTAATAGTGAAGGTAAGAATAGAAACATTTAGCACAATTTTGTCAATTAGAACAGTTAACTGTAGAGAGGCTTACCAATTAGTCTAAAGCCACACAGTAAGTAAAAAGAGAAGCTCAAAATCAGACTCAGGGCTCTCTTCTCCCTATCGTTAGATATTATCCCTCTTCAGTTTTAAAAATCAATGATAATTATCATCTGTGATTACATGAGCTATGACCATAAGGCATGCATATTCACAGAATGTCCAAGTTATAATTACATACTATTCTAAATACTCTTGTAATACAAGCTCCTAGAACATTACTGGATAAGAAAGTTCACGTGTTTCTTAAATGAGAAAGAAAGTACAAAACACAACAGGCCCTACAGAGTTCAAAAGATTTTAGATACAAAATTAGAGTTAGAAAAATCCCACAATTAAATCAGTGATAGACTTGAATGCGGATTGTAACTTTTGTTTGTTAACAGATTTGGAATACTGTCAATTTTTCCTTTTAAGTTTCGAAGCCCTTGAGACAATGATTATAAAAATACACTTTGCCTTGGGGTGGTGAGAAGACTCCCTCCGGGTGTTTATCTGTAGCTACAGGCTTCAGCTTGGTCTAAATCTTGGTCATAAATTGCAGCTTAACTGGATGGTAATTGTCTGCTCTTAGAGGCTGGGAAACCAGAGTTTACAAGAATGGTTCAGGAGATACATCTATTTAAGTCCTGGAAGATTTAGAATTAAGAGAAGGAAGTTTTCAAAGAATCGAAATCATCGTAATAAGATACATTTACAAGAAAAATTCTGGTTTTCTTTATTCTTGTGAATACATTCCTGGAGACTTGAGAGAATGTGGCTTAGTGAAAAACCTAGAAAATACACATCAGAATGTGTAATTGAGTAATTAGTTTAGAAGACTGGTTTTAGTTAACTTTACGTTTATGCAATTGGGGAAAATCTAAGAAAAAATTTTAATGATTCAGCATATATTTAAATAGGAATCTATTAAACTCATGAAAATTTAGATAGTCAGAAAAGTCTTGTTTACTTTTTGACTAAAAAAATATATTGAATGTAAAATGACTGAAATAATGCTGGTTAACTGCTGACTTTGCAAGCCAGTCGAAACCTTATTTATAATAATGTAATAATGCAAGGGTTTTTGTTATAAATAGAATAAAAGAGTGTCACTGTGACTGTCACTGTCCTCCCGTTATTCATAGATTTGCTCGAGCGGGCCCAATGATGTCTCCATTGTGACAATTGTTACTGTGTTTGGCATATCGAATACGTCACGGGTAGCTTGCCAGGCTTTGCCGTGGAGGCAAGATACTCTCGGTAGCTTGCCGGGCTCTCCAAGAGTCTAATTTAAAAGCTTATGAGAAAACTAAGATCTTGAATTCATAATTTTAAGGCACATAACACTAATCGTTAAAGTGTAAAGTCAGCTTCTAAGGAATTTTTTTTTGCTTCAAATACAGAATGGTTGGGATCATCTCTAAGCTTAAACATTTATTTGGTGGTATTAGGTAGATCTTTTCTATTTTTCCTACTCCTTGTTTTAGCATAGGATATGGAATTCTGACTTGTGAGGGCTAATGTTAGTTTATTCAGCAGTGAGATAATCCCAACCACCCTTAATAGGACAGGACTTAGCCCAGTGGCCAGAGAGTGCTGTGAAGCTAACTCAGAGAATGTTATTGCAGCTTTCTAGTGTTCCTTTGGAATATTCATCAGATTACCCAGAACAATTCCCTCCTGCCTCCTTGGGAACTCCTGAGGTGAGGTACCTGGATAGGAAGTTCTCCAAGGACTGCTTCTTGTCTTCCTTGCAAACTATTCCCTCCTTCTTCTGCTTCTCCATGTCTTTGATTCGGGACTGGAAAGTATCGATCAAATCGAACACAGACTTCATTGCTATAGGCACCTCATAGTATTGCTGGTTAAAAATGAATAGAAAATAGATAACATTATAGCTGGGTATGACCCAACAGCCCCAAAACCAAACACACACACACACACACACACACACACACACACACACACACACACACACACACTGTGTGTGCTTCTTTCCTCTATTTAGAAGAAAACAGAGTTATGGGAGAATTCAGGGGAACTAAAGGGAAAACAGAACCTGGAGATTAAACTGATGTATAAACTTCTACAATAATATCTATGTTGATGTTTCATATATATATTTTTTCATACATATGTAATCATATAAAAATCTATACTCCTGTTTTTGGAAAGGTTCCATATTTTCCTCACAAAATGGTATACTTTCTTAACTCTACAGTTAAGCTGGTTCTTGATCACTAAACAATTATAAAGAAAGTGAAAAACTATATCTAACACACATGAAATAACATATTGGCATATTTGACCTGAGAAATAAGAGGAATTTTCCACGAGAAGGAGGGATGTTCTGTGGTCATGAGGAATCTACATAGACTATGAATCCCAGAGACTACTTTATTGAGTAAGCTCTCTTAAAATTAGCTCATGTTTGCTTTGTATCCTCCAAAAAAAATGTTGGTAACCAACTTCAGGATAATGAAAGTCAGTTTTTTGGATCACAACTATCTGGACAGCAACCCGAGATGGATCTGGGGGCTGGCTGAGCATAATCTGCATAAGCTAGCAAACAGTCTGAACATAGCTTGGAGCTATGCCCTTAATGGGAATTCAATAAATTGCAGAATGTGAAAACTGGCAGAGACTTAGGGATGATCTAGTCTAACCTCCCACATTAGAGATGAAGCAACCCAAGTGTGGAATAAATTAATGAAAAGATCTCTTTCCAGATACATAAAAGTGCTACACATTGAGCTAGCTATTGTAAGTCAGGCAGACATTTTGGGTAACAGTTTTCATGTAAATATGATGTATGTAGGTGTGAATTCCAACTCAAAGTAGGTGAACTAATTTACTAGTTTGCTATTATTCACTGGCCAGTTTATTAAGTTTGGGGGCCACACCCAGCAGTGTTCAGGGCTTACTCCTGTCTCTGCCCAAAGATCACTCCTTGCAGTGCTTGGAGGACCATGTGCAGTGCCGGGGATCTAACCTAACCTAAATCAGCTGCATGCCAGGAAAACATTTAAATGTTTTCACTCCTCTACTATCTTTCCAGCCCCTTTGATTAGTTATTTAATCACCCTAGATCTTTGATCCTTTCTCTAAGAAGCAAAGATATACTTATTTTACTTTTAATCATGATGGTTTCAAATAAGGGCTGATAAGAGTTCAGGTAAGTGCCAAAGGAAAGCAGTTAGTAAACTAAGATGTTTTTGTTATTGCTACTATTATTATTATTATTATGACTGCTTGACACAGTTCACGATTCAGTACAATCATCTCTAAACATACTAATGTGGTGGGTGTAAAACCCTACTGTTTTGTCCATGACATCGGAATTTAGTCTGAGTCAAGCATCTGAACTACAGGAGGTCAACCAACTCAGTGTTTTTCAGAGACCATATTTTGGGACACAAATTCTATAGGACAAGTTGGAATATTTGGGTCCTTTCAAAACCTTTTCAATGAGGAAATACTTTGTGTTTAATTGTATGTCTAATCGAGTCATTGACAAAAATTTAGAGTTGCAATCCCAAGGAATGGCACTGCATTATCCCAAGTAGGAACCCATACCTTGACTCTCATGTCCAAGTCTGTGAGCACCATGAAGAAGTCATTGTAGGTCATTCCATATTCTTTTCTCAGCTCACTGATAAGATGCTGATCTACCAAGTCTTCATCATCAACCACTCGCATAGGTTTCTCATTATCTTAAGGCAAAAGAAGTATGGACAAATGTGGGTGTGACAAGGCAGAGCATAGTTAGACATGAACAAATGGAAACTGTAGGCCTCCATTCTTAGTTATTTACAAGAACTTACTTACACATAGTCAACTAACATTTTGTTTTAACAGAAGTTTCTAAAGTGAATACATAGATATACAAACAAATGAGTAAGTAAACTCATATTAAAAGTAACTCTTCTGTTGTAACATTGTGTAACTGAAACTTGATCAAGAACAGCTTTTTAACTGTGTGTCTCACGATGACTCAATAACATTTTTTTAAGTCTCTTTTCTAAAGATGATAAAACCCCAGCTCTGCCCACCTCTTTGTAGTCAACCAGAAGGAACAGAGTGAGAAAAAAGGTTCCTGAGTCATCCCTGGAAGATGACTTGCCAACTCATCAAGTCTGTCTTGGAATGAATTATCATCCTAACTCACCAGGGAACTAGACCCAGATACTTAGTTAAGTTTTATTTTATTTAAAAAATATGTTTGTTTTAATTATTCAGTTAAGTCTAAAATTTGTGCCTGTTCGACCACTTTGTTAGAGTCACTTTGAGATTCATCAAACCTTACCATTGTTATCGAGAAAAATTAAGAATCTGTGCTCAAAACTGATCACATTTGGCACCCAAAACATTTAAGATGTTCATAATAAAAAAGTAAGAAAATAGAATTTCAAGAAAAGTATTACCAAATGGAAGTTTTTGTCTATCATGCATTCTTTCAAATATTATCCCTATAAATAGTTATAATTAAAAATAATTCCGGATGATGTCATTGTGTTAAAAGGAAGTATGAAGATGGGAATTCCTATGTCTGGAAAGCATTTTGAAAATGATGAGAGTTTAATCTCCTTTTTCCATCCCCCCAGAGTTTCCCTCCAACACAGTATTTTCTTCCAACATACTAAAACTTTTATCAGAAAAAATATTTGGACAAATAAAACTAATCAAATATTCAATCAGAGGTATAATAATACATAGAATCTAAGGGTTGTCAACACTGCTACCCAATGAGTAGGTCTTTTTTTATAAGTAGGATATTTTTTCTTTTTTAAATTAATTTTATTGAATCACCGTGAGATAGTTATAAGCTTTCATGTTTGGGTTGCAATCACACAATGATCAAACACCCATCCCTCCACCAGTGCACATTCCCCACCACCAATTCCCCAGTATACCCTCCCTTTCCCACCCTCCCTCTGCCTCCATGGCAGACATAATTCCCCAGAATCTCTCTCTACTTTTGGGCATTATGGTTTACAATGCAGATACTGAGAGGTTATCATGTTTGGCCCATTATCTACTTCCAGCACACATCTTCCATCCTGACGGGTTCCTCCAGCCATCATTTTCTTAGTGATCCCTTCTCAATTCCAGCTGCAATTTCCCCTGTGCTCATGAGGCAGGCTTCCAGCTATGGAGCAATCTTCCTGTCCTGTGTATCTACTATCTTTAGTTGTCAGCTTCATGTTACGTTGTTTTATACTCCACAAATGAGTGCAGTCCTTCTATGTCTGTCCCTCTCTTTCTGACTTATTTCACTTAGCATGATACTCTCCATGTCTATCCATTTATAAATAAATTTCATGTAAGCAGGATATTTTTAATATCCAACATATATTCATTTCCAGTTTGACAAAATGTTATTGTCAAGTGTTTGGAGGTAATTTTGTGCTAGGTGTTGGATTCAGAGATAATTAAGCTGAAAAGAGTTTCAGTTTTTGTTATTAGAATAAAAATTAGCATCTCCATAACAGATAAAATGTTGGAAACTGTTGAATGGTAGGAAGACAGGAAGACTAGGTGACAGAAAGAAGTAGGATTCTAAACAATTGTAGTAGATTCCAAAAACAGTGCCAAGTTTTCACCTTCATCCCTCCTCTTCATGTTTTGGAGCAAGAGAGATAGTACAGAAGTAACACACTTTGCCGTACTTGTGGCTGACCCTGGCAGCACTAGAAGTAATCCCTGAGCACAGTCAGTTGTGACCCAACCCTTCCCCTTTATCAGGAGATTTTTACTTCTTGGTTGTCAGAGATTGATCTTGAGGCTTATACACTTGGTATATAAACCATGTGGACAGAAGATGAAGGTTAGGGGATGACAAATTCTCCAACCTCTGGGGCACAGAGTGACTGAGACATCAAAGTCTGAATAAACAGAAAACATCACAGTGTCTGGAAATGTGGTCACGCATGCAGTCTGGTCTCCCAGCACAGCGTTAAAAGACCTAAAGAGGCAGCTACCAGGCATGGCACTGTCGACACTGATAAGAGAAGTTGGCTGGTTTTACAGGTGGTCCCAAGGGAAGGCAGTATATTTGGATCTTGATTTAAATATTTCTTTTGGAGGGGGATTGAGGGAGTTTCCCGTCTGTCAGGGGCCAATTGGGCAGTGCTCAGGAGGCTTGAACCTGGTGAGGCCCTATGAACCCTGCTCTTTCCCACTATTAGCATTTTGTATTTTGCATTTGGATTCTGATGGGGTTGTGAGTCTTTTTTAAAAAATTTTTTTGGCTTTTGGGTCACATCTGGAGATACTCAGGGGTTACTCCTGACTCTGCACTCAGGAATTACTCTTGGCATCAATTGGGGAACCACATGGGATGCCAGGGATTAAACTCGGGTCAGCCACATCCAGGCAAATGCCTTACCCATTGTATTATTGCTCTGGCCCCCAAAGGTTGTGAGTCTGTCTTTAAAGAATAATCCTCTCAGGCCTGGAGAGATAGCACAGCAGGTAGGAGTAGGGCATTTGCCTTGCACGCGGCCAACCCAGGTTCAATTCCCAGCATCCCATATGGTGTCCCAAGTACCACCAGGAGTAATTCCTGAGTGCAAAGCCAGGAGTAACCCCTGAGCATAGCCAGGTGTGACCCAAAAAGAAAAAAGAATGAATAATCCTCTTAACAGGATCAGGTTGAAAGAATATTTGGGGCTGAAATATATTTGATCATGCTCATTTAAATAATACTTTAAAATTTTGCCTAGGAGCGATAGCACAGTGGTAGGGCGTTTACCTTGCGCACAGCCAGCCTGGCCGAGCCAGGTTCAATTCCTCCGCCCCTCTCGGAGAGCCTGGAAAGCTACCGAGAGTATTCAACATGCCAAACACAGTAACAAGAAGTCTCACAATGGAGACGTTACTGGGTCTGCTCGAGCAAATCGATGAACAACGGGAGGACAGTGGTTTTTTTTTTTAATTCTACATAAATAATGAATTAACATTTTCTGTCCATGTTGTCACATTCACATCCTCTATTTTATCCAACTCTTTTCTTCAGAAAAAGTTATTAAAGTTGACAATTTCCCTAAAAATGTCCTGTATGTTCTATTCCTTAAAATTCGGCGCTCAGTGGACCAGAGAAAGAGTACAAGTAAAATGTTTGCCTCTCACACAGCAGACTGTGGTTTGATCCTGGTGCCATAGATGACACGGCAGCACCTCTAGCAGTGATCCCTAAGCTCGGTTGGGTATAGCTCCCAAACACACAAACAAACAAACAAACAAACAAACAAAAAACCACAAAAATTTGGTGTACTCCATATACTCAAAACAGTTTTCCTCCTGGGGTTAGAGAGAGAGTGAAGGTGATTTTCTTACATGTGGCCAACATGTGTTTGCTCCCTGGTACCACCAGGAGTCATCCTGGAGCAATGAGTCAGGAGTAGTCTCTGAGCTGTGTGTGACATCAAACCCTATATATGAGTATAAATATATATATATGCATATACTCATATTTATGTGTATACATGTATATATCCCCCTATTTTTGATAACAAGAAATATGCCTACTAAGTGTTCATTTCTTTTTTATTTTGCATTAAAAGTGTCTTTATCCACAACTTTTTATCTGACACACTGTGTACACTATCAATATATTTATAAAACAATATTTCTGTCCCAGATCAATGCTACTAATCATTAAGATTAACTTCATGTATTGTCAGCTTAACATAACTATACTTTGGGCTAACTAAACCAGATGGGATTATTCTGCATGGGAATTTGCTCAAGCTTATAAATAACTTTTTATTAAGTTAATGTCTGATGTCTTAAGGTAATTTCCTTTGTGCTTATAGTTTATCAATGAACATTCAAACACATTTAACAAGATGGAACAGTTGGTGAGGCTAGTCCACATTATAGTTGGATGTAGGTCTCTACTTTTAAGGCTCAGTCAACATCTGGAAGTGTAGAGAGTGGTTGATTTATTTTTAAGGAAAGTAAAGCCATGCGATAGACTTTTAGCTAAAGATTAGTCAAGGCTGGAGTTTGGTTCACTGAGAACCCAGTGAATGCCAATTCCTATTTTCCCATGGCTGACTCCCACACTTGGCTGAAAATGTTACAGTTTTTCCCATAAGGGTAACCTGGGACATGACACAAGGACAGAAAGGCCTTCCAGGAATTAGCTGAGGAACAAAATGAAAGGCCCACAAATCACATCCAAGCGGCCAGCGGGGAGCAGCAAACACCCAGATCACACTACTTGATTCCAATATGGCAGAAAAGAAAACTTCAGTCCCTCTACAGTTTATATTCAATCCAGATGTCTGAGAAAACAGCAGGATTAATGCTAAAAAATTAGCCAAGGCAGCACCAGATGCTTATAGCAGTTAGGATCATATAAAGGTTGAGGTAGAAGGTTTGATGATTTTTCCAAACTCCTCTGAAATAAGGAATGCTAAATCTTTGTGCCAGAGTTGGTGGTTAACATATTTGACACCAAGAACACCTGGTGGAAGAGGACTTTCATCTTTATCCAGCACCAGTTCTGTCCCAGATTAATACCTACTTCCTCTCTAGACATTTGGATTATAATTAAGCTAAATGACCAACGTTGCTATATGTAAATACAGGAAGCAAACTGTTGGATGCCAGCTAACCACTAAATATGTGGCTTTATAGGATTAGTTTTTTGACTGTCAGCTTTATTACCAGGGTAGAATGCAATCTGACCTCAAGAAGCAGTTGTGATGGGGTTACTGCTAGCATTCTGTAATTAGCATAAAGTCGTGATAAGTATTTCTCAATTATAGATGCTCTAGTAATTTCTGACAAGTTGTTGCTCCCTAGATGCTTATTAGAAGAAATGGTAGTGATAATGACCATTTTGACGATTGGGCAGATGTTTACATATATTATCTTATTAAATCCCCACTACAGTCTGACAAAGATAATTATTTTTAAGCTGAGATTTAGAAGGTAATCTGCCTAAATTCACACACAAAATATTTTTCAACTGTAAGTTTGAACCATTCTGACTCCAGAGCTTCTTTGTATCTTCTATTCCTATGATTATATTGATTTGAAAAGTGAATTTTTTGTTATTGTTTTCTCCCTCCAAATAGCACATATAGCACAAGGATTAATGTTCACAAACCAGGACCCATAAAAATGTATGATGCCTCACTGGACATAACGCTCTTTGTTTTTCCTTTGGAGCTCAAGGAAAAGCAAACTAATAAACATATACACTGAATAACAGAAACATAACATTTGATCAAGCTTTAGTGATCTGCATATATTTTTTACTTATAGACCATAATACCCAAAGGTGCATCTAAAATGTTAAGGGGGGAGGGGTGTGAGTAGAGGCATAGCATAAGAATTAAAACACATGTCTCAAATGTGGTCAGTGCCAGTTAGATTACTGGCACCACATGGTCCTTTAAACATCATAGGGATACTTAGAGCAGCAGGACCCCAGAAGCAATATGTCCTTGGACCATTTCAGCTAAGAAACACAGAAAGGAGCCTCCAGTCTTTCAGAGCACCACTTGGGAAATCCCCCATCCACCAAAAAGGAAAAGGAAAAAAGCCTTTTAGGAGTGTATAAATCATGCTAATTTTTAACCACACAAAAAAAGAAAAAAACATGTGGTTTTGAATTTTAACCATATTCAATCAAATTGACATTCACTGTCACTGTCACTGTCCTCCCGTTGTTCATCGATTTGCTCGAGTGGGCCCAGTAATGTCTCCATTGTGAGACTTGTTGTTATTGTGTTTGGCATATCCAATACGTCATGGGTAGCTTGCCAGGCTTTGCCATGCGGGTGAGATACTCTCGGTATCTTGTTGGGCTTTCCAAGAGGGGCAGAGGAATTGAACCTGAGTCGGGTCGTGCGCAAAGCAAATGCCCTACCGCTGTGCTCAAGACATAATTATGACAATTATTTTAACTTTAAGAATATACATAGCAGGAAAATTTGTGAAAACTTCAATATATATATTTATATATTGAAGTTAAGTGTTAACTGATGGAGAAAATACGATCTGTATAATTTAAGATGTTTTCAGCTAAAATACATTTTATGAAAAATATGCATAATAAGAAAATGATAGACTGAGGGTGATTTTAATTATTGTGAACAGACAATAAGAGCATTAGAAAATGTCTACATTAAGAAAATTCTTAATGTCTACATTAAGAAATAAGAGCATTAGAAAATGCCTACAATAAGAAAAATATTTGGTACTGTCCCAGAGATGGAATATTTATTAAAAAAAAAAAAAGAAAACTTGGGTAGGTCATATTTGGAGCATCTGACTATGAGGCTTAACTATTCACAGTAAGTCTTGCGATGTCCCCATGAGAATCATAATAAATTTGATCTCAGTTGCCCAACTCTGAACTGTATGCCTCATAAGTCTCACGCATCATTAACATAAAAATTGTGAAATATCTACATCTAGCCAAATTCTTTTACTTTCCAAAAGAACTTGGGTGCAGATCAGTCCATATTTTCAGTGACCTTTTTAGCTGAATAGCTTGTTTCGGCCTCGTTAATTCCCTGACCACTTGTCTCACCAGAATCAAGTGCTTTTAAGTTTGAAAGGTCCCTATTAGGAAAGGTGCACCGGGAGCATTAATGGTTACCTACAGGCAAAAGACTCAGAATTCTGAAGGAAGCGATCAAATACCTTCCTGTTCTTCTCTCATCAACATGTCTGTATTTATTTATTATTTATTTATTTTGGTGGAGGATGGACAATGTTTGGGCCACACCTGACAGTAATCAGGGATTGCTCCTGGCTCTGCACTCAGGGATCACTTCTGGTACTGCTCTGAGGACCATATGAGATGCTAGGAATGACACTTTTCTACACGTTACTGATTCTTGAAACTCACAGAATTTGCATATTTTTCATTTTAAAGTGCAAAAACTTCAATAAATTGACTTAAAAAAAACACAACAAAAGAGACTTCTGGATATCTAAATTTTCTTCTTTTGATTCGCCACTGACCTGTCCCTTAGAATTTGTCTCCTCTTAGATATGAGAACAAAAATAATAATGGTATTGAAATATTTAAGAGAACCTAGCTGGAAGTGGTCGATTTTCATGGTGCTATTGTTGACAGGGCCGAAGATGGTGATCACAGAGATTTTTCTGGTGGCCATCTTGCAGAAACTTTCCAGATACTCATCTCGCTGTTGTACATACATGTTGTTCTCAGCCTTAGGAGCAGTGATAAGCTGGAGATAGGTAAAGGCAGTAAAATATTAATTAATAGTTGTAATGTCACACTGAGACACATCTAAAGACATTATTTGTAATAGAGGATTACTAGTAACTAACTAAACTGAAATGCTCTGCTGAACATTTATTATAATTTTGGTTTAAAAAGATTATTTGGAAAGGGTTTGTTTTTTCTCTTTTTAATGAACCCAGAAAGCTTAGACTTTTCAACTCATTTCTATTATTTGTTTTTATTTCTCATCTCTATGTGTCTTCTGGAGGTGGGGGGCAGTGCTCGGGCCACAGGTAGTGGTGCTCAGGGTTATTCCTGCAATCAGGGATCTCTCCTGGTAGTGCTTAGGGAACCATATGGGGTGCTGGAAATGGAACCAGGTCGGCTATGTGCAAGGCAAGCACCAAGCCTGCTGTACTATCACTCCAGTCCCATCTATGCATCTTATTTTCTTTTTTGTGAACTCTTCCAGAGAAAAGACTTAATTTACAAGGCTGTTGTAAACATTATATGCATTCTTGGTACTTAATAACTGTTCAATAAATGTCTGCTCCCATTTTTCTCTTCATTAGCCTAACTGGTTTCTCAGACATCTGTGAATTTGGTGGCTACATCATGTCTCAGAAGGTTGAAAGAATTTGACACCCAGGCTTTGGTAATTATGGCCTATACTTTAGAATATTTTGAGACAAACTTATGCAAAGATCATCGGCCACCTTTTGTCCTACATGTTACTGACCAGAATATATTTATTGTTACATTGGATCTGCAAAGGGCTTGTGTTGTACATCTTTGATATTTGAGTCTTCCAGTGGAATAGATCTTTCTCTTTCAAAGTTGTATTTTTCACATTTCAAATCTGGATTTTTTTTGTTCACATAACTCCATATATCTTTCTCCTTTTTAAAAATTTGTTGTTGTTTGGTAGTCACACTGGGCCATGTTCTGGGCTTACTCCACGATCTGTGCTCAGGTATTACTCCAACTGGGAGTTTGGGGGACCATGTGGGGTGCCAGAGATTGAATCCAGTTGACTGCATGCCAGGTAAATATCTTACTTTTCTACCTTAGTGTACGTTTTTTAGTTGTATTTGTGTAGTTTTTGCTCATTTTACTAGATTTTCCCTGAGTAGAAATCTGAACTGTACACCACCCTCCATTGGTAGATGAGCATGGCAATGTTCATCCTGGAAATGGTAGGGTTTGGATTCTTTTTATAATTATTAAAACCTTTTGACCTCTTGACCTCTCCAACCCTTAAAATCTCGCTAGGCTAATGTGTACAAAAATCAAATCTTTGCTGATTTATCCTTGAACTCAAAGACCAGCCTTTCTGTATTACTTTCTGTAAACACTTTCTGGCATCTGATTACATTCAAATTTATCAGTCACTTTTCTTTTTACCAATCTGATCTTATAAAATATTTATGAAGTTTGTCATTACTAGCTTGCCATGGTTCAGTGGGACAATCACCTTGTTGTTAACCTCTGCCAGATACTTTATCAAAAATGTTTGAGGCCTGACACTCAATACCTCTATTGCAAACCAGAACATCCCAAAGGAAAAAGAGAGCAAAAGGGAATGCCCTGCCACAAAGGCAGGGCGGGGTGGGGGGGATGGGGTGGGGTGGTGGGAGGGCTACTGGGATCATTGGTGGTGGATAATGGACACTGGTGGAGGGATGGGTACTCGATCATTGTATAGCTGAAACCCAAGCACGAATGTTTGTAAGTCTACAGCTGTACCTCATGGTGTTTCACTAATTAAAAAATAATAAATAAATAAATAAATAAATAAAATGTTTAAGGCCTGAGAGATAGTACAGTGCATAATGCTTAGCAAGCTGCAGACTCAGGTTTGATCTTCGGCACATGATATGGTTGGTTCCCTTGAGATTTTCAGGAGTGATTCCTGAGTGCAGAGTCAGGCAGGAGTAAGCCCTGAGAACTGCTGGTGTGGACCACACCCCTCAAGAAGCTTAATAAATCTGGTCCCTGCTTTGTTTTACAGCTTTATCATAGACGTGATTATTGCTGCCTGGAACTTTCCCTTTTATGAATTCTCTAGCCTTAACAAAATACTCTCCCTCGTGGAAACCAAAATGTGTTCAATAGAATTTGATTGGAACCATTAACAAAGATTTTATGGAATGGAATTATTTTTTCTTAGGTAATTTAATTATTTATATAAATATGATACACCTATTTTTGATTTTGTGTTTATTTGCTTGTTTGGAAAGACAGGGTGGGTAGGAAATGTTTGTTTTAGGGTGTATTTTCCTAAAATTAATGCATTGATTCATACTTAACCTTAAAAAATTTAAGGTGGCTATTAAAAGACCTAGTGATGAAATTTTGTATTTGCTTGCTAGTGTGTAATTAGCTCTATGACATTTAAAAATATTTCTTCAGGTTTAGATGGTTGTGCAAACCTTATAGCTTTATTTTTCATTACTGTATCTTAAGTTTTTCTTTCTTTGCTCATAACACATTTGAAATAAATAAAATAAATGTTTAAGTGAAACTAAAATAGTTTAAACAAAGCTGAAAGAAAAGTGTATTACTAATGATTTTAAACTCTATTACAAAATAAGGGTAAACTCATATTTATAATGTATTTAGAAGAATCTCTAGCTCTAGAGAGCATTTCAGGTACTAGGTGGTTGATATTTATTACTTTTTTTTACTTTGAATCCAAATATGGACTTCGTTTTATTCTTCTCATATTTTACCATGAAACCATAATAGCAGACCTAGATGAACCTTGATATGGTGGAATTTCAAGAGTTCTCAACTCTCCCTCCACCTTCTTCTCTCTCTGGTACATCATTTTAAATTTCAGACAACATAGAATCATACAAAATATCATCATCTTCTCCTTACTAACTAACTTCTAGGAATCTCTGAACATAGCGGCACTCGACCACATAAAATCAGTGGAGACTGCATTTAAATAAAGAAATAGTTCTGACATTTATTTTTACCTCGAGACCTTTGCCACCAGGAAGGCATAACCCACCTGTGTGTTGACATTCATTTAGCATGACTCATTTCCTAGCTTGGGGCCTCCACAACCTGGTCCTCCACAACCTCTCTCTGACCTATGTTTTTTTCCTACTCTTCCCATCCATGACCACACTACTGGAAAGGTCTAAATGTGAAATAAAAGCAGTCTTGGCAGAATGGCACCTAAAATAGGTGGCTGAAATCAAAATTGGAGGGCCTGCATTTCAGGCTGAGTTTAAGCCCAGTTTGTGTATAATAGAACCACAAAGCTGCTTAATATTACAAATCTTAGCTTTTTCATCTTTACCATGAATAACTTCCTGCCAGCTTCATAAAGTAATGACTGAGTGTAAAACTGAGAGAAAAGTAGAACTAGTATAAGTGTGACTGTGTGTATGTGCAAGATGTGTGTAACCAAGAGGATACATGCTCACTCACTTTCCTGCATTAGCCCCTATCACCATTCTTACCTAGACAACCTCCCCGTTAATAGAATCTGAGTTATTCCGGAAATATAACATCACCTTTGAAGTCTTCTTTAATTCCAAAGGATCATTTAACCCTTTTAATTACTGTTCTCATTGACACCCATTTGAAATTTGTTCTATTTGATGTCATATTTTATGTTCATGTCATACTTTCCCAGCAGTGAAGCACTGAAGTCCCAGTCCCACCACTTCTATGCAAAGGGAAGGAATACAAACGCTAGCCTGCATTGCTCAAATGACAAAGATTCATCTAGAGAAGGGAAGAGGACTCAGGAACACAATAGTGCATACATGAAACTCCCAAACCATTTTGATCTACTACTTGCTCTTCAAAGCAGAGGCAGTGGTCATTTGAATACATTTTGGGGAATCTTTCCCTGTGTATTGTTATCTCTGCCGAATTTATTTTCTAACTTGGCAGTATTTCAATGCTCAAAATAGTAAGCGTTTCTAGGCCCCTCTTCCTCAAAAGAGAATTTTAGAATTTCCCAGTAAACATCGTTGTTTGGAACTTGGCCTCTTTCCAGCATGGTGACAATAAATCAAGACATGTATCATGAGCTAGAACTGTACTGTAGTTCTTTTTCATGTTTCTGTTCCAACTTGTCAGAACAAGAATTCATTTGCGCACGTAAAGGGAGCAAATGGGAAGAACCGGGGGAGAAGATATTTTAGGATTCATTATTCTCAATGCTGTGTTAAGCCCAAACACTAGATTTTCAGAGAAATTTGAAAAGCAACATTCAAGCTAGTCATCTATAGTATAGCAACTGGTGGGCTAGCAAAACAAGACATTATATATTTTTCTACAACTTAATAAAATAAAAAGATTAATATTACTATTTCCAGCTTTCAGAAATGAAGTTGAAAGGAATAGTCTACTTCATTTACAATTTAGTCTGCGGAGCATACACAAACTTGAATTTGAAAGATAGTTTAGTCATTAAGAAACTTTGTATTAGTTGGTAAGCAAAGTACATCTCAAGGCACAAAATGATGCTATCAACTACTCTGAATATAGTTCCATTTTTAGTGATAAGTATATTAGCTATATACTCCCCATTGTCAATACCAAATCCCAACCAGTCTGAAGAATTAGGTTAAAGGGTATTTAATTAGTTATTCTTAACTGGCTGCCAGAAAGTCAAAGTTCAAGTGCAGAGAATTACATGAGTAGTAAATGTAGAAATTCAAATTTTGTTCTTGGTACAAGATATTGACAATTGTTTATCTTATTTAGCTGGTCAAGTCAATGTTGCTTTCTGAAAGCACTTAATCTGAGCAAAATAAAAAGGGGAAAGGATGGCTTGATCATGAGTTTTCAAATCAAAAAGCTAATTTTTTTATAATTAATGCTTTTCTACACATAAGCCATAACCTTAAAACACTTAACAAAATTTCCACTTAGTATCTAATAAAATCATGGAAGTCTGAAAATTAAAACAGTAGGTCAGAATAAAACACCTTGCAGGATGAGCCCATTTCTGTTGATACACTGAAATCCTGAAAGGCAGAAGATGGAAGTTTCTCTCTGGCCTAAGAATCGATACCTGCCTCCACCTGCAGCTATTGCTCTTACTAAGGTCTCTGCAATGCCATCACTCAACCACAATCTATACCATTGCTTCACGGTTTCTCTAAGTAATGGACTAAGTAGTGATTATGTGGCTTTTTTTACCCCTGAAGAATGAAATAAAATAAATGGAAAGCACTGGAGGTTTAAGATAAATTATATTTGCATGTCAAATTACTGGAAAACTAGAAAGAAGGGCTGAGCAACTTCAGTTTGAATGCACCGAGTTAAGTTGAGGCCCACTGGAGTTATATGTTGTCAGTTGGACTTGAACATCTTGTAGAGTACTAAGTTTTAATAAATATTAATAGAATCACTGAATAACATCAGTTCACAGCAGATGAAAAAAGTGAGTGGGAAAAAAGACAAATGTTTTTTCACCGAGAAGCACTAGTCTCTTCTGTGTCTGGAGAAACAGTCTTTTCTTGCTATCTTTGGGTATTGTATTAGGTGAGTTTTCATTGTCTTTCCTACTTCATTCCTATTTTATATATCATTAACCCTTCAGGAAACACATTTATTTCTGCTATGATTGTCACAGGTAGAATTGCAAGACTGAAACACCTTCTATTGGTACTTATCTGCTTCTCTCCTTGGTCCTAAAGAGCAACTGCCCTGGGCAGTTCCAGCTGGCTTCTGTTTTGCCTCCCATGACATCAGCAGAAGCTGTCATTGGAGTTTGATTTGCTTAAAATTTATGATCAGGGATAGTTTTAAAATCTGAAAAGACCCAGCTGGGTTCTCAAATCCCTGACTTAGGCAGTTGGGGGTGATGACTAATATTAGCGAAATAGTTTGAAAAGCCCTTGTTTTGACTGAAAAACTAGGGACAATCAAAGTGTTTGCCAAAGGAGTATATAATTATAATCCTGATATTTTATTCAAGCTGTCTTTTCCACCCACCCACTGCTAAAACCTGACCACGAGGAAAACTCTGCATTCCTTATTGGCTGAAAGGTCAGGATTGGGTGTATGTTTGAGCAGGCTGGATAAAGTTGTAGGCACTCAGGAGAGCCATGGAGCATACCACTAATGCATTCCCACACCCCAGAGCCAGCAATTTGCAGTTTGACCAGTGTTCAAGTACCACACAGAGTTCTACTCTGAAATCAGAGGTTCTCTTTATTCTCACTGGATCATTCTCCCTTTAAATTTATATATATATATATTGGGGATTTGCTCGAGCAGGCCCAGTAATGTCTCCATTGGAGACTTTGTTGTTACTATGTTTGGCATATCGAATATGTCACGGGGAGCTTGCCAGTCTCTGTAACCAAGCAGCTATTAAACCACTTGAACTAACAGTCTCTTCTCTGCTAAACTAACTTTATATAGTTACTTTAAGCCTCTTGTTTAAAAAAATAACATATACATATGTATTACATATGTATGTGTATCTTATTATATATAATAAGTATATATATATCATATACACACAATAAATATATATAGTATATAATATTATTGTTATGGTGGTGACAAGTAATGGCCAAAATAGAACTGCAGTGATGGACCTATGATTCATGGCATTCAGAAACACAAGTAAAAGCAGGGTACTTGTTTCTCTTTTCATGCGCATATCCATACTCACATTCATATACCCCAAACCTCTCAGACACCACACCAAACATACAAACCAGCATACAAACCACAAACACCTAACACACAACTCATAGCCATAAGCCACCCGCCATACCACACACAAAGCAACAAAGTGCATACAGCACATACACTACATTGACACCCATATACCACACACACATTGCACACCACACCCACCCAAACTCGCACCCATAAATCCCACACACATAGCATGTCACACACTGAGCATGTGAACCACAGCACACCACACACACAGACACACATACACACACATAACCAAACTCATACCTATACACTCATGCCCACACTACACCACACACATTAACATATGCATTATATATACATAGCACAGATATCATAACACATCACACCGATACCCACATAACACACACACACACAAACACCCATTTTAAGGAGGCTCAGGAGAAATCAATAGCTGAATTCCAAATTCAGATGTGGGTCTATAGAGTCAAGGATGAAAACAACTAGCCTAGCTCCCAATGCTCCATCCTTTTGACTTTTGGATATTGTCTTTCTTATATTGTCATTTGGGCAGTGATGGTGGAGGCAGCATTTAAGAGACTTCAGTCAGCTCACTTACAAGTATTTGTGAGGACCACAAAAAGAGCCCTTCTGTCTATCCCTATCTCTCTGTCTCTATCTCTCTGTCTGTCTCTGTCTCTCTATTTCTGTCTCTCTCTGTGTCTCTGTGTCTCTGTCTCTGTCTCTCAGTCTCTGTGTCTCTGTCTCTGCCTCTCTGTCACTCTCTCTCTGTCTCTGTGTCTCTCTGTCCCTCTCTGTGTTTCTGTCTCTGTCTTTCCCTCTTTCTCGCTCCTCCCCCACACCCTCCTGCAACTAGCATACAGCTTGTCTCCATTGGAGGGGTCCAACTATTGATACAGGCTGAATTCAGAGGCAGAGAAGGTGCCTTTCTCTTTAGCCAAACATTACATTTCAAGCCCCTAAGCTCACAGAAAGAAACCCCCTTTTCCAAGTTGTAAATGGAATGGGTGCCTGCCTAACTCCTTCATTCTTTGCATTTGATCAAGAAGCCAGAATTCAGAACAATCCCTGGGAAAAAGGAGTAAGAATGGATCTGGAAGACACTGACTTCTGACATCAAAGGTGTGTCCTCCAGAAGGACCCCTAGACATCCAGTCTCAGAGCCGGGAGTTTGTGGAAGAGGTTCTTAAAGCATCCAAGTTAACAGGGAACCGCTGACCCAGCTGCCCTTTCCTGACAAACCTCCTGGTCTCTTGACACAGGATAGGGACTGGAGCTATAGCACAATGGGTAGGGCGTTTGCCTTGCAGGCAGCCGACCCTGGTTCGATTCCCAGTATCCTGCATGGTCCCCCAAGCACTGCAAGGGGTAATTCCTGAGTGCAGAGCCAGGAGTAACCCCTGTGCATCCCCGGGTGTGACCCAAAAAGCAAAAAAAGAAAAAAAAAAAGGAAACAGCACCTGAGGTTCGAAGAATGAGGTTCTAGAAAAGTAACCCAGGAAGACACACATCCCTGACACAAACATAGCAACAAGGACAGTAAGAAGAAATTCACTTACTAGAAGCCTTCGTTTGCCTTCGAAGAGCCCGAGAAGATCAGTCACGGCCTTCCCGAGGCTCTGCTGGACGTGTTGGCCAGGGGGCTTCGTGTAGCCACCCTGCTCCCCTTTGCTCGCCTTCTTCTTCTTGCTCTTCTCCTTTTCGGGCTTGCTCTTTTTCTCCGCCTTCTTCCCCGGCTTCTCGCTCTTGAGCAACTTGTCCACTTTCTCGTGCTTGGCCTTTTTCTTCTTCTCCTTCTCGGCTTTCTCGAGCTTCTGGTGCTTTGCAGACTCCTTGGCTTTCTGCGGGGGCACACGGGCCACCTGCAGCTCCTCCTCCAGCTGCGAGGCCGTGGGCGCACCCGGGTCGTACTTATCCTCATACTCGTTGCTGAGCAGTTTGTCTTGGGCCTTCCTTTTGGGGGGCTTGGCCTTGGGGGGCTTGTGCGGCCCCGCCTTGGGCTCCCGCCGGTCGGTGCGGTTGTCGCGGAGGCGACCCGCGCCCCCCCGGGGGCTGTGCTCTGGGACGGTGGCTGGAGGGGCGCTGGGGACGCTCTCCAAACCCGGGGTCTTGCTGGGCCTGCGGGTGCTCTGCGGCCTCTCGCGGGTGGCCTCCTTCCGGGGAGGAGGGGACAGATTCTCCGAGGCCGCCGGTCCCCCGACGGTGGTCACTTCGGCTGTGGCCGGGGCCCTGTGCGTGTCTAGGGAAGGGTTGACCCGGGGCGTCCAGGGCCTCTGCGTGGTGGGAAAGACCGTAGTGGTGGTGGTGGTGGTGGTGGTGGTGGTGGTGGTGGTGGGAGTCGGCCTGGCGGCGACGGTGACCACCCGCGAGGTGGTCCGAGTGGCTGTAGTGGCCGGAGCAGGGGGAAGCGTGGTGACCCGGGGCGTCGGGGACGGGGCAGGGGAGGCGGCCGTCGTGGTGGCGGCGGGCTTCCTCCAGACCTTGCGGGTGGGGGGCACCTGGGCTCGCCTGGGCGGCTCCTCCTTCCTCTTCTCGGCGCTCAGGCCGGGCCTGCCCTCGCCGTGCCCGTCGCCGTCCTCCGGCACCACCTGGCCCTCCACCCCCGCCGCCCTGCACTTCTGCACGAAGCCCTTCTGGCGGATCTTCTCGATCCTGCGGATGGGGCCCTGGTCGATGAGCTCGTACAGGGCTTCCAGCCGGACCGGGTACGGGTAGCGCTCCTCCACCTGCAGCGTCTTCTTCAGCAGCACCATGCCGAACTTGCCCTTCTCCAGCTTGAGGAAGCTCATGAGCTTGGGCACGAGGCCCGGCTCCAGGCGCCGCTCCAGCACGCGGCCCTCGCCGGTGATGCGCCGCACCCGGCCGCCCTCCTCGCCCGCCTGGTGGAACAGCACGATCTGCTGGATGTGCCGCTCGGCCAGCTCGCAGTACACGTCGTCCTTCAGCAGGCTCATCATCAGGCGGTAGTAGCCGTCGGCCGCGTGCGGGGCCGAGATGACCCACACGCGGTGCTTGCCCGCGAAGCTAGCCAGGATGTTGGGGGAGCTGGAGCTCGCGGGGAAGCGCAGCGTCCTGGTGCGGGCTGCAGAGCCCTCGTCTCGGACCATCTCCCGGGCTGGGGTCCGGGCCCTGGGGGGTCTCTGCTCGGGTCGCTCCGGGGCCCCCTGGAGACCCGCTGCGGCTGGCAGCGCCGTGGTCCGGGCTATCCTCATCACTGGCACGCTCCTTCTGGGCAGAGGTTGAAGGCTGGCTTCTGCCGCGGTGGTTCTCCCCGTGTCCTGAGACCTCCCCGTGTGCCTCAGAAACCGGGCCGGCCTACCGCTGGACGGGGGGAAGAGGGGTGCTCGGCGGCTTCCGTGACTCCCCCGGTTCGTGGCCTGCGCGTGGGATTCCGAGCTGCACACCAGCCACATGGCCAACAGCATGGTCCAACTGGGTCCCATTCTCTGTGTCATGGTGCAGTGCACTGGGGGTCGCAGCAGGTCCAGAGGCAGGAAAGGAATTGGGGGAGTGAGGGAAGGAAGAACATTATTTAATTGCAAACAGGGCTGGGCATTTTCTCTTTCTCTAACTTGGACAAGGAGAGGGGGGAAGGGATTTTTTTTTTTTAAAAAAAAGAAGGGAGGTCAGGGAATGGAAAATCAGATGAAATCCTGCTGCTTTGAAGCGCCTAAAATTTGTCCGTGCTTCCCAGAGACAGTGACATTGAACATGCTCAGAACACGCCCTCGCTCTTTCAACGGGCTCCCTGAATCTTCAGAGAGACCACGCAGGGATCCTATGAATTAGGACAATATTCACATTTCATTTCTTTAAGCAAGCAACGAAGAAACACACACACAGACGCAGACAAACACACACACAAAGAGAAAAAGTTACACACTTACATTGTGGCTCATGGAGATGGAATGCAGAGCGTTCCCGAAGCAATCTGAAGTGTGGTCCCAGGACGGTTTCCTAGATGCAACACTTTCCCTCTTTCCCGTGCTCCAGGCTGAGAGATACAGAGGGGGAGGGGGTGTGCCTCACTCCGGCTCCCAAAGCAACACCCCAGACCCACAGCCGGTAGTGACCTGAGAGCCCGGTGGCTTTCTTTTCTTCCCGGCTGTGACTTTTTACCTTCTTGACAAGTAAGATGAGGTGCAAGCAGTGGTTTTTTGAAATCTTTGCATCTCCATTTGTCCCGAGTCTCTGCCCGTCTTCTTGTGCCTTCAGTGTCCGTCCCCCCGTGCTGAATCAGGATGTTCTTTAATGTGGAGCCCCAGCTATTTTGGAATCTTGCTCTTTCTCTTTGGAGAGTTCAGGAACCTTCTTATCACTCTTTCTCCCACAGTCCGGCTCAGTTCCTTTGTCTCAGAGGTAAAAGCACAGGGATTAATACGTTTTCCAGGCTGAGGGAAAACACAGGAATGTGATGTTGAAAAAAGGACTTTTCCCCCTTCTCGTCTCCCTTTATTTCTTCCCACTATTTCTCTTTTGCCTCCTTCTCCTGCTTTTATTTTCTCCTTCTTTTTTCTCCTTCCTCTTGCCTGGATTCAGTCCCAGAAATGCCAGGACAACTTTAGTTTTGATCCAAACCAAATTCAAACAACAGCAGCCACTGGAAATCAAGGAAACTTCACTAAGAATTTAACAGATCAGCAAAACACCGCCTCCTTCTCATTTCAGCGAGTTGAGAGAGAGCTGGTAGGGCAGGGTGGGGAGGGCGAGGGCTGTTCTTTGGGGTGGGGGAGAGTTTTGAAATACTACACATCATCATAAATCACTTTAGAATAGGATGGCTGCAGACTTAACCCCTTCTGTACCAAGTCATCAGGAGACTTTCTCTTCCTATCTGTACTTTGGAAAAGGGAAAATCCTCAGATTTCTGCATCTGGCTGCTTGCTTGGTTTTCCTCGACACAAATACTTATTGGGTTTGGATGCTTGCATCCACAGACACCGACAGTGTGTGTAATTCAGTGTGTACATTTTTCCCTCATTGCTCCTGCTTCATGTATTCAGTGTGAGGTTGGAAAAGTCCATGGAAAACATGACTGGGTTGTTTTTATTTTATGCTAATTGGGGATCATGTTACTGTGTTCTTGTTCTTAGTTTTTCCTTGGCATGGAAGGAAGCTGGTAAAAGGTTAGAAATGCAGGCAATGGCTGTTGTTCCCCTGAGAGCGTGAATGTCCGCCTGTATATCAGAGAGAGGACATTATGATCTAGAGTCTCTCGGTTCTGACTGGAAATGGTAGTTAAGTCTTTCCTCAGTGGGCTTGTGTATGTGTGTGTGTATGTGTGTGTGTGTATGTGTGTGTGTGTGTGTGTGTGTGTGTGTGTGTGTGTGTGTTGCTTCAGAGGCTTCAAGTGTCTAGAGGGTTTTAATCAATCCTTAGAAATCAGGTTCCTATGGAGAGAATTGAGATATCTCCACGGTCCATCTCTTGGACATGCCACAGGGATTCAGCTTTTGTAGGGGAGGAATGATGCCTCAGATTATACAGACTTCCTCCCAGTTTTTCCAAGAGTATTCTGTTGTATTAACTGGCACAAATAAGAGTGAATCTGAGCTTGCAGCAGTTCTTGCAAAGGAGGCTGTGCTAATACCTACTCTCACTAGATAAAACCTAGTTCCTTATTTCTACCCCCTGATCAGCCACATCTCCAAACTAGTCATTTGGCTTTCTTTTACATAAGCACTGAACTCTGAATTGGAGACTTGTATGGGGGTAGGATTTACAGCTCTCAGTATACAGATTGAATTTCAAGAGGTCCCTAGAAGGAAGACCCTGCCATCATGCCTTCTGCACACTTGTGAGTAGTGTAATAAAGGTGGCTTCGAATAGTGACCCTTTGTCTTTTGTTGGCAAAGACTTTCCCTTTCAAGGGCTTCAGCCTATTAATCACTTAATCACTTAACTTCCCGTTAGTTGTCGATTTGCTCGAGCGGGCGCCAGTAACGTCTCCATTTGTCCCTGTCGCGTGCTAGTGTAGCCCAATGGCATCTCTTCGCTCCGGGAACATGGAGGGCCTCAAACCGATCGTTCATGACCTTGACAAAGAAGTCTGACCATCTGGTAGGTGGGCGGCCACGCGGTCTCTTGACATCCCGTGGAATCCAATCAGTAACAGCTCTAGTCCAACGGTCGTCTTTAAATCTCATTACGTGACCAGCCCATCTGATTTTCGACACCTTGGCAAATGAGACAGCGTCCCTGATCCTTGATCGTCGACGGATGTCAGAACTCCGGATTCGTTCTCTCATTTGAGTGAAACGTGATATTCCAAGCATAGCTCTTTCTATTCTTCTTTGGGAGACCTGAATGGCGTTCTCATCTTGTTTGCGTAGGGCCCAGGTCTCTGAGGCATATGTTAATGCAGGAAGAACAGTGGAATCAAAGAGATGTGCCCGGAGCCGGAGGTTCTTCGTCCTCTTAGCTATTTCTTCGACGTTCTTGAAGGCGTTCCAAGCCGCTCTCTTCCTCCTGCGCAGCTCGGGTGCCAGGTCATTTCTCATGTTGACCTCTCGACCTAGGTACACATAGCTGTTGCATTCGGAGATGGTCGTTCCATTGAGAGCGAATGGGGCGTCAGGAACAAGGCTGTTTCTCATAAACATTGTCTTCTTCAGCCTATTAAGTTGATCAAAATGCTTCATGCTAGACAATCCTGGATATTATTATCTTTCACACTTCATAGTGTGCTTCACACTACCCCTTAGAGGCCTCCCTTCCTTCTTTTCGTTTTTCTTTGTCAATAACAACCCCCCATTTATTGACCATTTTTATTTGACATTCTGAGCTAGGCATTTCCATATATTCTTTGTCCCAACCTTCACAACAACCCCTAGGAGACAAATAAGATGATCCTCATTTCAATAGGGATTTAAACTGAGATCTATTTAAACAAATAAATAAATAAATTTAAATAATAAATAATTTAAATAATGAGTTTAAATAAATTCCCTATGTCACACAATGGCAACTGGTCTGAAATTTGAAACAAGGTTTGGGACAAACAAGCAAACATGGAATTCTGTCTTCTTTCATTTACTTCCCATTGGACTTATTTCTTATTTTTCATTACTTCCTTTTTACTCTGTTTCCCATATTCACTGAACAGTTTCACTTATCAACTTAAGAGTCGTACTTTCTGGAATAATTCTTTAAAAACATGTTTACCTTTCCATTTATCCTTTTTCATGAATAACCCACCAACCTATCATCTCTCTATATATATATACATATATATATATACATAATCCATCATGTGTGACCTGATAAAATTTGAATATCGTCTCTCTGGGGAGTTGGTATTGATGTAAGGGAAGCCAGCCTCACTGCTCTTCCTCCTGGGGGTCTGACTTTTCTTGTTTCATGAGTTTTGGCCAGTAGATGGCATGCTGAACATACACATGGGGAAGAATCTCTTTTATCTCCTCAATTTTCTGGGGACTCACTGTCACAAAATTAGGGGTCTCTTATACTTACTCAATATTTTTTCACTCCAGTACCTAAAGCCTACTCTGGGGCACAGAATTATACCTTAGGGAAACAAATGCCAAATAAATAAATAAATAAATGAATATAGAAGCAAGTTAGCTTCTGCCCCTCTTTGGAGAAGTTAATAATCTGTGGTTTGCAAAGATTCTCAATTTTCAGTCCATGATTAAAGAGCCCTGTATTAATAAAGACCTTCCCCTCAGCCTTCTGTTTTTTTAAAATTCTTTTCTGTAACCTAAGAAAGAAACATTAACCAATAAGCATCAGTAGATATGTAGTTGATTTCCTTATAAAGAATAACTCTTGTTGTTACTAAACTAGATTCAAAACTATTGCAGGTAACTGTTCTATTGCCTGAAAAACATCGTTTGTTTAAGAGAAAATCAGACCAAAAAATGAGGGAAGATATTCAAACTGTTCAATTGTGGTCTTGGGTGGAAACCACTTTTTGCTGTGTGATAACCAGATCCTCCTGTGGGTGAGGGTTGGGACAACACTTGATTTATTTATCTTTGTATTATATAATGATGTAACAGAGACTAATATGTATAATACTGGCCTAACAAGATTTCTGCTTCTAGCTTTTCCTTTTCATTAGAGACCTCAATTTAAAGAATGAAGACTATATTTTATGTCCTTCAGAACAAATCAGAAATTTATCTCTTTCTCAGTATTACGACAAGCTAAAGAAATAGTTTCAAAGTCAAGGAGAAAGCTGATAACTATTGCAGAATACTGTCCTAGCCCAGAAAGTCTCTAAGAAAAGAAACACTTTGAAATTGTCCCTGTAAGGTTCCATGCTTAATCCAAAGAGGAAGAACATACATACTTTAAAATAGATAAAAGTTTACTGATAAGATAGTGCTCAAAACTTTTGAGGACATTTATCAATATTCCATTTTTATTCATCTATTTAAAAATACTTTAATGTCTTTTAGAAAACTTTGAAAACACTTCTATTCCCAGGTGGAAATCTGTTTAATTAGAAAAAGTCAGACTTCCAAGAGTAGCAATTTGAAAGGCCTGGCCCTAGAAGAGATTTAGTTACTATATGAATGACTTAACACATTTCAAATCTTTAACAGCAATTATTTATTATTTGGTTTTCAAAGCACACGTGGTGCTCAGGGGTTACTCCTGACTCTACACTCAAGGATCACTCCTGAAAGGACTCAGGGGTCAGCTGCATGCAAGGCAAAAGCTACATTAACTTTCTGGCCTCATAATCAGTGATCTAAAGTTCATACTTCATCGGTTGTCACGCCGTGTGAGATATATAAATGCATAGACATAACAATTTACTGTTTGAGGGGTTAGTTCTCGGATGGAAAAGAGTAGAGAATACTAAAGCATAAAATCTTAATTTCCAATTATTAAATATACATAAAAATTGATGTCAATCAAATTTGAAGGAGAAAAATTCAGTTATGCTGACTTCTGTGCTCTTACATAGAGCTAAAAGAATAATGATTCAATTTCTTTCTTTTCGCTCAGCCTTTCTCTCAAATACTTGTCAAGATTGCAAATTTTATACCAGAGACTAGAGAGAATCTGACATTCTCGTTTCTTTAGAAGCTTATTGTCCATTGAGAAGATTCACAGCATTTTGTCAATCGGACTTTCCTAGAATAACTTTCTTGAAATGTAGAAATCCAGTGGTTGTAGTGGCTACAGCCAACATGCACAGAGTTCATTATGCCATAGACTTCCTCTTTGGTTCCCAGAACAGACTTTACCCAGGAAGCGGCTTCCCATGCCTCCTGAAAAGTCTAGCTTGGTATGTTTCATAGAGTTACCTTGCACCCCAGGTTTGATCCCCGGTACCCCCTACGGTCTCTGAATACCTCCTGGAGGGACACCTGAGCACAGTCAGGAGTAAGCCCTGAGCACTGCACATGGATGATCCTGGTTTGATCCCCAGCATCCCATATGGTCCCCGAGCACAGCAGGGGTGGTTCCTAAGAGCACAGCCAGGATTAATTCCTGAGCATCACTGGGTGTGACCGGTGTAGACTAGAATCTGCAGATGTCTAAGATATACTTTCTGGCACCATGTGCTGCACAGACTAGTAATACTTTCATCCTCATTTTCCCAG